TATTATTGCAGTAAACAATGTGAGGCATCATGAGTGTGGGCTGCTGGATAAGAGTCACAAGTGCAATTTTTACACTTTGACAGGCCAACTTTGTACCTTTGGCAGCGTAGTAATGTAGAGATTTGATTCTCTGCTTCTCTGCTTCTCTGCTTTGACACAACTACACACAAAAGCATTCATGGCCAACACAGGAAAGATGCACTCACTGCATAGGAAAGATTCCTGGCAATACAGTCTTTGGTTTGAATTTCAAACAGCCTTGAAGAAGACCGTAGACCATTTAATAAGAGACTTGGTTGGTGTATGTTTGGTTTGTGTGTTAAGTGCGAGTTGGTCTATTATTTCAGCTGTGTTGTGAAGTATATGTCGCCTGATTTATCCTTCATATTCGGTAGATCCTTTGTGCTGGAGAGGGTGGGTGTGTGAGTGAATGACAGGACCAGGATTCCTCACATGATAGCGTTAGTTGTCCATTGGCGTTGTCAATGGTAAGGTTTTGTTAAATATTTGAAGGTTTGGAGCGTGGAAATGTAGCCATTGATGATGACGACAATGGAGAATGATGTGTGGGCTATCGAACGTTGTTGTGACAGGTTTGATAATGAAGATACGGTTGGAAGATGGGAACGGAAAGCCACAAAACCAGGAAGAAGCGTTGAAGATGGAGAAGCAAAGCGTGAAAGGTTGTGTTTTCGGTTGAAAAAGTTGAGATGTGGAAGGTTGTATTCGGTTATGGGGTTGTGCGTATTTCGGATACGCTGCAGAGTGAGAGGAAAGCTGGATGGTTTATTCGATTACGCTTGGTTGTATTCGGTTACAGGCGTTTGATCAGCATGGTGTATTCGGTTACAGGCGTTGCTTGATTCGGTTCCAGCACGCTTCATCTTTCTTCCATGCTTCCTCCATTTGTTCTTCTTCATGTTAACATGGTTGGTGGTATGCTCGTGGGCGTGAACAACGTTGAGACATGAGAGTCAATGCACCAGTACAGCACGAGCCCGAGATGAGGAGGTCGATGGAGCATACAAGAGAGTGTGTCCAAGCAACCTGAGGATGCACCAGAGTTGTTGACGTAGCAGGAGTAGATGCAGCTAACCCTGTGTTTTGTTTGTGTTGCAGGTGAGGGAGTTGTGAATAAAGTGGTACGTGAAGTTGCTGTGAACGTTGTGCAGGTGAAGCTTGGTGGAGTTTGGTGAAGGTGTAGGTGAAGGACTTTGGTGAAGCATCATCGACCTAAGTGAAGTTGTTGTTCTGAACCTTGTGCAGGTCGTAGTGGACCTTTCTGGTGCACTTGTCAAGGTAGCCAAGGTTGTGGAAGTATGAAGGTGTTTACATACCTGAGTTTCGTAGTGGTGGCAACCATGTTAACAACTTTGTATAGTCCTACAGGTGTTAGCAAAGAGCAGGGTGGGTGTTGACTTCTGAAAGGTGGTTGTGTTAAAAAGGACTATCTTTCTTTGCAGTGACATTTTTTGTGGTTCTTTTGCCGTTTTTCATTCAAGGGCAGCCAAGTTATTTGAGTCATGATCTACTAAAATCTCACTAGATTTACGATTTTTTAAGCTTTGTCTTCATTTGGTTCAAGTTGATTGAAGGTATTATTGAAGGTATATCAGGTTTAAAAACTTATCTGTAGTATGGTATAAATATGATGTAATCCTAATTGTCTTCACCATTTAGATGATAAGTTGCTTACTATTCCGTCAGTGTATTACATGACTCTTTTTTCATACTTGACTTATGTGATTGATTTCTTACATTACCTATTTTTGAATTGTACTTGTTTTCACATCAGTTTTCATACTTATATATATTGTCAACTTAATGAACTGTAAATCAGATGGATTCACGAATAATTGATGAATTGGAAGAAGTAATTACTCAAAGAACAAGACTATATGCGACTCTTGAAACGCCAAATACAGGCCATGGAGCGTCGAAATTCACTGATAACAGCTAGGAATCAATCACCTAACCCAACTTCGGAAGAAATTCAGAACTTAGTACGGGCTTATGAACATCAAGCATGACAATTATTAGACAGTGCTTCGGACTTTCTATCTTCACATCCATCCCATACAAGACGTTTAATAGGGATGCGACCACAATATCGTTTCAATAGATTGCTTTACATACCTCACTCAAGCAACTTCATCATGATCTAATTACAATATATTTGTATGGTTATTATGTTTGCAGTTTTTATATTATGTCATGTAATATTATAACTTCATTAATTATCGACTGTATTCAAAATTAATAAATTTCACTTTCATAACAAATAAATTCATACTACTTGGAACTAAATTGTATTACAAACAAATACTACATTTTAAAATAATTCATTTTACTTAATTATAATTTAATTACTTTTTAAAAATTATTTTTAATTTTTTACTCTTAATAAACATTTTCACAATTAAATATAACATTAACAAATATCATTTTATATTACTTTAATACCTAGGGATATTTTGATAATCTTTAATTTCTACCAATTAAACAAATTTTTTAAAATTGTCACATCAATCAAATCCTACTCTTAATTCTCACAAACTTCACCTCTAAATCCACTCTCAATTACCTCCAAATCCACTCAAATAAACACACACAAAATTACCCTCAAATCCTCTGAATCACTCTCCCAAAATCATGTCTCCCAATCACCCCCAAGTGAACATACCCTATATGCACTACCTACTGGGAAAGAAAAGTATATAAAATAATGGATGACCCCCCCGGGTGATGGAAAGCTTGACTTGTTCATCGCTCTAAATGCTTTATGATAATATATATATATATATATATTATATATATATATATATATATTATATATATATATATATAATATAGAAATAGTATATATATATATATAATATATATATATATATATATTATAATTTATTATATCTATATGGGTTTTGATAACGCGCGTACGTCTGTTTTCAGTTGGTACATTTTAGCAATGTGTACCGGGTTTTAGTAGAAAAAATATCCTTAATATATGGATTCTACGTTTTAAGGTTAAGGGTATTTAATAATTTTCATTCTCAAAACTAAAAAAAAAAAAAAAGAAACCCCCAAAACCCTTATCACCCTCTCATTCCTCTCACCCTTTCTCTTCCTCTTTCTCAATCCAATCTTTTCTATGTATCCCTACCGTAGTTTAATTGAAAAAAAATCAGAAACACTGGTGTTAAACAATCTACAAAAAAATGATTTTATAAGAGGTTTCTCTTATAATTTTTGTCTTATCTAATTTGATCCAATTTCACAAGAATAAAGGAATTGGTAATTGACCTGGAAAAAATTCAGAAATACTCGTTGTTTAACAATTTCTTACAAAAATGATTTTATAATGAGTTTTTATTTTATTATTTTTGTCTTATCTAATTTTATCTAATTTTCACAGCTAATGACATCCAAAGGCATTGGTAATTGGCTGGAAAAAAATCCAAACACTTCAATGGTTTAAACCAATTTCTTACAAAAAAATGACTTTATAAGAGTTTTCATTTTATTAATTTTGTCGTCTATAATTTGATCTAATTTTTCACAAGCATAATGACATCAGGAAAAGAATGGGAATTGGCCTCGAGGATTTTTTGAGTGATGATTCAACAATACAGATGATGAATTAGCGAGGTAGTGAAGATGGTTGTGAATGAACTTGTGAAGAGATCGTGAATGAACTTGTCTTGACGGTGAATATGTCAATGACTCAAGCTTACAAAGGAAAATTTTTTAAAGAATGTGTTTCTGATTTTTTCAATTGGGATTAGGTAGGGAGAGGACAGACGAGAAAAGGTTGGCGTGAGAGAGATGAAAGAGAAAAGGTTGTGAGTGAGCAGAGATGAAAGAGAAAGGATTGAGAGGAATGAGAGAGGTGAGTAAGGTTTCGGGTTTCTTTTTTTTTTTTAAGTTTTGAAAATGAAAATTATTTAAAATACCTTAACCTTAAACTTGGAATTCATAATATATAAGGATATTTTTGTCTACTATAAAATCCGATACCACATTGCTAAAATGTACCAACTGAAAAACAGGCGTTACGAGCATAGAAAACCACTATATATATATATATATATATATATATAATATATATATATATATATATATATATATTAGTGTGGAACCGGAAATATGCTTTAATTAATGTTTTATTGGGCGTTATATACGAATTTAATAATTTTATAACTAAATTTATAAATTATTAACCTTTATACATCATTTAAAAGGGATTGAAGAAAAATACCTAATACATGATATTAATGATTTTTATATTAAGTGTAACATTTATCAATTTTTTTTACCTTGATGAAAAACTAAATTTATATGTTTTGAAAAAAAAAACAAAAACTAATAATTAAAATTTAAAAATAAAGATGCAGAAAACAAGTGACAATGTATATAAAGAATGGTAGATTAGAGACATTATAAAGAAATTAACGAAAGATAAAAGTTTTATAGTGAAACTGGGACTAAATCCAACTTAATCTTGATCTTAATTCACGTAAGAAGGGCTTTAAGATTGGAACTTTTTTTTTGGCCTTCATTTGAAGAGCTCTCTAACAGAAGGTTTTTTAAGAATAAGTTAGGACTGACCCATAAGTAGTCATGGGTTAAGTTGATACCTCTATTCAAATCTATGGTCTTTATCATGGGTACATTTTTTTTAAATGACTCAAATAAGTTCATTTCTTTGTTCATATGATTGGTTCTGGTCACTATGTTTTCTTTTAGATCTCCATTTGGCCTTTGCATTTATCTTATGTCTAATGTTGTGCCATGGTCATGACTAGTAATTATAATCACAATCCATTTCAGATGAAAGACTTAAAAGTAACTCATTTCTTGGCCGTTGATATTTTTCAATCCTTCTTTGGTAGTCATTTCATTGAGAAAGTATGATTTAAATACACTTGATATTAACAGCTTGATTGCTACCTAGTGACACTTCTATGATCATAATCTCGAACTCTTTGGTGGTAAATAGAAAAAGTGTGAAAACTCAACTTGTGTGAAGACTGAACTATCTTAATTACTAGGCCAAACATCACATTTATAATCAGTGTGATAAATTAATTCCTCAATGCTCCTTGTGATAGTGATTTGGATGTTGCCATCTGCATTCTTCAATACATCATGAATGCATAAAGTTTTTCAACACATTCATTAGCTGAAACACATTCAGAAGAAAGTGATTCTCTCATAGTATTTTAAGTCCTAATAATTTCAATCAATAAGAAACTGTGTCTGAAATAATGCATAAGAACATGTTTTTCTTACCATATCTTGAACTTATGATAGAACTTTAAAAATAATGGCTAATCTTCACTCTATTTTTGTTGCACTTATCAGTTTCTAGGAACTTCCGTCAATATCATATTCCTAATCTTCTTCTTAGCATAAATTCTTTTCAAAACAATGCTAATTTCACATACTATATTAGTTTAAAACTAAGACACTATAAACCACTTGACTGCAATTCGATAACTTCCATGACTGACAAATAAATCTTTCAATAACAAGCTAAATCATTATTGAAATGGATTAGCCTTAGCCACCTTGGAATGTCATTAACACCTTATCCACTTTCCATCAGAACTTCTAGCAAAAGTGCGCGGCTGCTTCATAGGAAAAGTTTCTGTCCAGTGTGGGTGCTCAATCAAATAAGTCCACTGCCTGAGTATGAGATTGTTATTATAATAAGCTGGACATAGATTCAAATATGATCTAATAATTTGAATATATTTGCATAGAAAAGTGCAAATAGTTACAATCTTAATTAGAACCAAAAGTTTCAATTTCAGCATCTTCGAAGACAAATGAAGATTAATCAAGGCAATGAATGAAAAAACTTTTGAAGTTTTACCGTTGAAATTAATTGCAGCAACAAGATTCTTTTTTATTTCTTTTGTCAGAAAAAATTAGAGTGTAAATTAGACTGCTCATTTAAGTATAAAATAAAGAAAATCTTTCAAGAACATCTTAAAAAACTATGATTCCAAATATCATCTGAAGACAACAACGACATATTTTCATCCTGACTAGGTATGGTTGCATATACTGATTGGATGATGGCATTGAATTTGTTGGACTTCTCCAGAAGTCAGTAACACGTATGATTCCCAATAAACAGACCCAAGCTACTGAATAAACTCGTCTTATTCAATGAATTCAAGTATACAACGTGTCGCAAACACCCAAGGAAGCCAGATCTCCCTTCACTGGACTAAGTTCCAGTAAACTCAACAAACAAAATACAATTCTGATAATCACGCCCTTTTCACTCAACTCTTTATTTATACTCTCCTATTCTTCTAACTAACTCCTAACTGAATTCTCTACTTCCCGCCTTTATTCTTTCTTACATATACTTTTAATCCTCTATCAGAATTTTGAAATAAGATGATAGGTTGAAATACATAAAGTTAGAATCAACCATATGTTTTACCTTCGTAAATTATCCACAAAATCTGGCGCCTCAGCAGTAGGTGAAGTTGAACATGTTGAAAGAATTTCCAAATCAGAACAGTTCAGAAGTGAAAGAGCAATATGATATTGACGAAGAGTCCTAGATAAGCAACCAGCAAGCATCAGTGTATCAGAATGGAAGAGAAAGGATTTTGGGAATCAATATCAAATCAAACCAGAGAAAATATTTAATTCATTCTTCCCAATAAAACAATTTTAAACATCATGAATGACCTAGGAAAAATTATTTTTCTATAAACGATAATAAATGCTCACTTTACAGGAGTTTTCTTCATATATTATTTTATTTCTGCATTGGCTTCACAAGTATTTTCCACATACAAAACTTGAAAATGAATTCATGAAACTTCATTAGTTACCAGCGACAAGGAGCAATTTTGAAACAGTCAGAGCCACAATCATATGTTTCTAGTAACTTTTCTTTCCAATTCGCATCTTCATAAGAAACAGATACTCGTATTCTTCTGACAAGCTCATCTGGACATCTAGAAGTTCTATCAAAAATAGCTGGGATGACAATACCTGATGCAGTCTCCACCTGAAATGATGCATAGAATGGAAGAAGTTAAAGATCCCATTCAAAAGTTTGAACATATATGTAATTATTCACTAAAAAGTGTACAACAGCTTTTACAATATCTTTAGAATATATTAAAAAAATCAATTAGTTAAGAAAGTGATTTAAGTAGTGGTTTCTTATTTAATAAGGGTTATGTAGCAGCAAGTAAGAGGTTTATCAAATACTGCAAATGAACCAGACGTAATGACAAAAGTTTAAAGCAGAAGCTGACCACAAATCCATTGAAAAAGGGGTATGTGTTTCCATCAGAATCTCTTCTGGTATTATGTCCAAGAACACAGAACGTTTGGAGGTGAAACTTCTCATCTCTTGACCATAGAGTATGAACAATCTTTGAACACAAAGGAAAGGAATAACCATCCAAATATGCAGGGCTTTCTGATATTGCACTACCATTTCCTTGCTGCACAAAAGTTCAACCGATCCAACTACAATTATACTGTCTGAGTGGAAACTATAAATTGAAAATTCACAAACAAAGCAGAAGACCCTGGTCAGACTTGCAGTGACACGTCTTCAAACCCCCCTATGAGATGCACCTGCAGTTGGGACAAAGCAACTTTTATTTCAGAAGATAATCTAAGTCAAAAAGAAGTCATTGCACATATTGATCACATAAAGCCGCTATAGAAAGTAGAGATCAAGAGAAGGAAAAGCACTTCGAACTCGGTCTCCAGACTGTTTGCAACAAGTGATGATAACATTTGGGAAAGGCCAATTTCTACAATTTTTGGCGAATCCATATGAGCAACTGATGTCCTGCATTAAAAGAAATAAAAAATAAAAAAAAAGAATTGTGAAACTTAATATACGGTAGTCTAGCCACAAATTCCTAGTCCTTACATTCCAGTTTTTTTGTTCCGAATAACAAGGCCAACGCACGTTGTTGCTTCATCAGTGCCAACAAACTAGAGATATGGAAGGAAAATGAAGCATATGAATAACATTTTTAAAACAGAATAGTAAAATTGTGTAATCAAAGAAGATTTGCCGATTCCTCAGATTACTCAGTGTAATCAAAGAAGATTTGCCGATTCCTCAGATTGACATATAAATTGCCAATCATACAGGCAGATTTGCCGATTCCTCAGATTACTCAGTGTAATCAAAGAAGATCACACACAAAATTGAAGGCAAATTAGCAGAATTCACGTAGTAATTGAAATATACATGCATACACACATATAAATACATACATACATA